TATTTTTTCATTATTTAGAGAACATTATAAATAGCTACGTTTTTAAAAGAAAAAAACTACTATTGTTATAAATAACACATTCAATTGAACTAAACTATAGCATGCCTATTTAAATATATTTACACATGGCTTGTGTATATCGTATATATATACATATATATTATTCATACCTTCGGTGTATAGGACGCAAGCAGATTTTGACATCAAATTTTGGGGTAAAAAAGTGCGTCTTATACACCGAAAAATACGGTATATATTTATTAATATATATAAAAGTTTTCGATACTTTATTGTATGGAAAACTAAGCCACATTTGTACGTCAAAGTTGAGTATTGTTAATTCTACATTAATAACGTACGATCTAGTCCTAATAATTAAGCTCCGGGTGGCTCAGCGGTAAGTCTGCGGGCATATAACGCTAAAGGTCAAAGCTTGATACCTGCAATGGGCACAAAATAGATAGCCCGGTGTGTGGCTTTGCGCTTAATAACAAAGAAACAAATATAAAAATATTAATGACAATACCCCCAGTGGCTCAGCTGTAAGTCTGAATACTTATAACACCAAAAACTTGGTTTCGATACCCGTCGTGGGCACATCACAGATACAGAGATAACCCATTGAGTAGCTTTGCGCTAAAACAAAGAACAATCCGACACCTAGCGGTATAATACTATTTTCAGAAGGAATGCACTAGCTACTGAGTTAATAGAGGATTATATTAACTGTTTCTGCAGTTTATTCATAGCATGCCTTTTTATAACGTAGTTTAGAAAGCTTCACAAAAGAGAAAGGCAGGGTCATTGTTATATGGGCATAATACCTGCATGAACATTTCTGCACTTTTCTCTAACAGCCAGCTACCTTAAACTTCACTTATTATAATATAGCTAACAATTTACATCAGTCCACGAATTCTAATAAGCCTATTTATCCACCATCAACAATGTATCGTTCCTAGGTGCTGTTAGACCTACCTTACGCAATGGCTCACGGGTAGAAAACCTGACGCCCTCTAGGAGAGGCAGGTCAATTATTTTATGAAAAAGTATTTACTCTAAATTTCTTTGCAATATTATCTGCTAGGTGTTTCACAGTTATTACTTATAATTCTGATTTAAAAAATAAATTATTTAAATTAGTAATATAAAACTGTGTTAGAGAATAGTAATCAGTTCAACAAATTAATTGATACGTAACAGTTGTCTATTCGTAGATAAACTCGCAAAATATTTATATAGAATTTCCTGAAAACATATTTGTGCATAAAAATATTAGAATAGAGCAATTTTACTTACTGCTATAATCATTTTGCATTTTCTCACATTTCTCGACAAAACTGCCTTATAAATGCTGCTTTGGAGACGGTTAAGTAGATTTTATTAAGTTACTTTGAAATGCGCAAGCAAATAAAAATACGTAGAACGTAAAACAGACGCATGAGTATATTATATAAAATAATTTTAATGTATTAGACATGCTCATAGGAGGCCCGGCATGGCCAGGTGGTTAGGGTGCTTGACTCGAATCCCCGTCACCCCAAACATGCTCGCCCTTTCAGCCGTGGGGCGTTATGATGTGACGGTCTATCCCACTATTCGTTGGTAAAAGAGTAGCCCAAGAGTTGGCGGTGGGTGGTGATGACCAGCTGCCTTCCCTCTAGTCTTACACTGCTAAACTAGGGACGGCTAGCGCAGATAGCCCTCGTGTAGCTTTGCGCCAAATTCAAAAACAAACAAACATGCTCATAGGCTATGAGTCATAGCAATATCAGTAAACAAAAACACAACTAATATATTTAGAAACTCTATATTGAATCTACGTATTGTAAATTTCAAAAGATGTTGCAAATCTGGTTTCTTTTTTTTATTCCCAATGAGTATTTGTGGTCTGTATTAGAATTAAATTAATCTAATTGATGAATTAAATTCTTAAACTTTTTTGGTTGCATGCTGAATCATTAACGATTTTATTTTGCTTCCTAATATAAATATATTTGTAATGGCATTGGAATTTTAGTTGAATAAGGCCATAATTCTCACTAAATATAACCCCCACCACCCCAAAAAAACACACATAAGAACACACACACACGTAATTATAGTGCTTTGAAATTTATTCGATTCAGTATAATGATATTTTTCACCACAAAACAGTAATTGTTATTGTTGTTCTAACTTTCCAAATGAAAAATGCAGGTTTAGCAATCCCCTGGGAATTTTTAAATTTTGTACCAATCAACATTTATTTTTAAAATATATTGAAGTTTGTTTGTTGTTAAATGCAATGTCACACAACGGGTGGCCCGGCATGGCCAGATGGTTAGGGAGCTCGACTCGCTATCTGTCGGTCGCGGGTTTGGAAATTTCGTCACACCAAACATGCTCGCCGTTTCAGCCGTGGGGGTGTTACAACTGACGGTCAATCCCACTATTCGTTGGTAAAAGAGTAGCCCAAGAGTTGGCGGTGGGTGGTGATAACTAGCTGCCTTCCCTCTAGTCTTACACTGCTAAATTAGGGACGGATAGCGCAGATAGCCCTCGTGTAGCTTTGTGCGAAATTCCTAACAAACAAACAAGCACACAACAGGCCATTAGTGCTGTACCAACCACGGATATCGAAACCCGATTTTTAGTGTTATAAATTTACACACTTATCGTTGAGCCACTGGAGAGTTTAATATATATGCAAAGTAATGAGTCTATTTTCCTACTATCTCGTACAGTTTATTTTTCTTTAAATTTATTTCTTAATGAAAACATTCTTCCACCTAACACATACATATTTGTCTCTTGATCCTTGATTAAACTTTGTTACAGTTCATTCTGCAAAGTTAATGTAGAAGTATAGGAGTGAGGAGGCCCACAATTTATCTGACCGAGGGAATGTGTGCACCCATTACGGCCCTGGAAGCTCTTTGGTTCTGAATTAAAGTTCATGCATTCTCCGGCTATTCCCGAGAGTAATTTCCCTAATTTTGCTGCATTTTTACTGGGTCATATTGAAAAGCGGGGGCCCAGGCACCCTGCTTCCTATGTTACTGTGATTCTGTTTAAGCGTTTAGATATAATTGATTAAGAGGGGACAATAAACCATTATCCATATAGTGGATTGGTTGATTGCTTTGGATA